CGACCACCCGATACAACCACATAGGAACGTGGGCCAATCGTTTTCTTGCAAACAACTTCCGTCCAGGTAGACTCGTCGGGCCTCTTCATATTGACAGTCTGTCCAGGCTGCAACTCAGGTAGTGCTTTACCTTTCAGGATGTAGTAGTAAGCCTGTTTTTGCTTAGAGTTAATCAGGTTTTCTTGCACATCCTGTGGGGGATCTGACTTAGACTCTAGTTGTTTACTTGACAAGGGTAACAAATTTCGTGTTCTCCTGCTGAACAGCCTTTGCGGTGGAATAAACCAATTTCCGTAGGCGTGTTACGATAGCCAAGGAGGGCAAGATATGGGTCAAAATTTCCATGCAATGCCTTTCTCATGATGTTTTCACAGATTTTCATAGCACTCTACTTTGCGAAATGCGTGGAGAGGTAGTAATATGCTGAAAGTGTCAGTCACTTGCAAACTTTGCAAACTCTGCAGAACCATATTGCGGTCCATTGTCAGAAATCTCCGGAATTCCAAGGCCGCTAAACTGCATTTAATTTTCAACTTCTCAATAACAGTCGTGGAATCTGTCGTGTCGAGCTTATCCACCTCAAAGAAAGAAGAGTGGTAATCCACAGTAATCAGGTAGTGGCGCTGGTCAAGCAAGAATAGATCCGCATCGATCTTTTGCCAAGGCCTTGATGGAATTTCATGGGGTATTAGCGGTTCTCGAGACTGTGCTAACTTGTGCGAACTGCACATATTACATTTGATAATGAAATCTTTAAACTCAGCTTTCATGCGCAGCCAGTAAAACGCTTCTCTGGCTCGTCGAGGCAGCCCTCAGTACCAAGATTGGAAGAATGGACCTTTCCCATGATTTCTTTACCTAACCCTGATAGCCCTAGTTTGGGCTATCCTTTCATCTTTAAACTGGAAATATGGCTTGAACTCAGCTGGAACTTTATCCAGAGTGCTAGGCTAACCTTCTAGGACAGTTGAAATAAGGATCTGAAGTTTGTCATCCGAGGCGGTCCTCTCCTTGAATTCCTTTAGTCGTGCTCGGTCTGTGCCCGAGGCTCGGGACTAAGGATCAGATACAACCATCAAGCTTCCTTTTTGGTACTTTCCATCAAGGTTGTAACGCTGCAAGCGCAACAACATCCTCTAGAGACGCTTGAGAGCAGAGCCTAGGTCCTTCTTAAAGTTAGTTTCAAGGGGCTGATGATCTGTTTTAACATGTACCGCATCTCGACCATACAGGTAGGTATCGAGCCTTTCAAAAGTAAAAACAACGGAGAGAGGTTCCTTCTCAATCCGAGCGTAGTGACTTTCCGCTAGAGTTAGAACTTTTGAGGCGAATGTAACGGGCTAACCCTCCTGAAGTGAGAAGGCGCCAAGTCCACTGAGAGACGTGTCACTTTCAAATGTGACTTCCCGTGTAGAAGTTTTATTGACATCATAAAACTTCAACACAGGAGCTTCACAAACAGGATTCTTGATACTTTGGACAGCTTCATCGTGAACGGGCAGCCAACACCATTCAGCATCCTTAAGGTTCAGTCGCCTTAACGTTTTGCGGACACTGGGCAAGTGTGGTAAGAACTTCGCTAGGTAAGTAACCATGCCAAGAAATATCTTTAAGGATTTGACATCTGTTGGAGTAGGTATGTCACGTATGGCACGAACTTTGTTTAAGTCAGTCACAACACCATTCGCTGTGAGTAAGTTGTCCATGAATGGCGGTCAAATTCTGATCATGATCCTTCGTTGCTTCATCTGCTGTGTCTCCAAATCCGCAAACCAAGAAATCATCGCCGATCACCTCAACTCCTTGAAGACCCTCAACTGCTTCATGCATCTTTCGCTGCCATATCTCAGGCGCAGAACTTATATCGAATGGCATCCTCAGCCAAGGAAAACGGCCAAAAGGGGTGTTAAATGTGGCAAAGTAAGTGGGGTTTTCAGGCAGATTCACCTGCCAAGAGCCATTTTTAGCATCTAAAACACTAAAATACTTTGGCATTGGTCAGACGAGAGATGACATCTTGAAGTGACGGTAAGGGGTAGTGAGAGCGCTTAATGGCAGTGCTCAAATCTTTGGGATCCAAACAAATGCAAACTGATCCAGCCTTCTTGGGAACTGCTAACAGGAATAATTATCTCGTCAGCAACCATTTTGTCAAGCTCTGTCTTCATTGCTTCCTTCTTGGGAGTAGGCACTCTTCGTGGGAACTACACGTAGAACATCCTTTTTAAACTGAATGTTTTTTTCCCCAGGTAATTATAAACAGCCAATGCCTTGAAACACATCAGTAAAAGGACTAAGTACTGTATCCTTTGTGACATCCTTAGAAACTAAGGATTCTATCTTTAGAGCTGCAACTACTTTATTGACAGGGGTATCAAAACAAGGCACAAAAATTTTCACAAGACCCATGCCTTAAGATAACTTCAAACCAAGTAAAGGTATAACTTCTTGATCAACAATAACAGTCAAGTTCATACTTGTTACGGTTGTCCTACTTTCAACCTTGCAGAACCAAGAGACTTTCGCTTCGAAGGATCGTGCATAACCATTGTGATTTCCTTAGGAACAATGTTGGCTTTAGTGTAATCTTTCGTTGCCTTGATGTAATCCTTCAGTAGCAGAATATGTGCAGAGGAACCAGTGTCAATTTTAAATGACACTAATGCTGAATCATTCAAAATGAGCGAAACAAGAGCTTCATCTTTACCACTAATACTATGGATTTAAAAGACTTCCTCTTGTTCGAGCATGTGAACCTTTGTATATTCAGACTTGCTTCGACACGACTGCAAAATTGCCTTCTTTGCCACACTTCTTACAATTCCGACCTGAAGCTGGACACAATTTCCTTTCGCGTGTGCCACTTCTTCTGAGATTTATTTCGCTCGCGAGTGAGTAACTTTCCTTTCCTTGATAGTTGCGATGGCTATATCCTGGTTAAGGTCTCACTTTCCGTGAAGCTTTTCACAAACTCTGTCATTCACGCAGCGCGCCAGAAACGCACGATTCTGAGAGCTTCATCAATGCAGTGACGTAGCTATCGAGCGATTCATTTGACAATTGCTCACATTTGAAGAAAGCATATCTTTGGTAGGTTTCATTATAGACAGGAACAGAATGTTCCTCGAACTTTTCCAGAACCTTGCCAAGTTTGAGAGCGTCCGACGAATTTTCCCATTGAAAGGTTTCGTATATGTCCATTCCTTTTGTGCCGATCACATTTAACAACGAAGCCACCCGAACTTCATGTGCCTTCTTGTGAATGCCAGCTGCTAGCTGGTGAACATCCATTTCATCAGGGCGAAACGATTTCCAATTTTCTCCTGGATGCAACGGTCAGGAAGATACAGCGACAAAGAAGTTTTTGCAGTAGTACTGACAGCAGTCATGATACTTCTCATGCAACGCGCAACGATCCAAACAGAGTTTCGAACGCAAACTATAAACTTTAGTGAGCCTACCAATCACGGACGAAGGATTAGAATTCGATACTTCGAAGCTAAGAATTAATCCTCGACAATTTGGTCTAAATCCCACTCCTGACACCATGTTACGATTAACGTAAGGACACCGATCGTAAACACAACTCAACAACTTTAGGGTGGCTCACCGAAAGACCACGAGGTCTGGCTACACAATAGTCGGTCACGTGATTCAGAAATGCATGCTAATTTATGTATTTTAGTTTTTTTTCACATGACCATTGGAAAACAAATTGTTCAAGGCGAGTATTTTATGAATGAACGGCAGCCGAAATTTACCGGAACATAAAGATTGCTCGGGATGACAGCAGCACTGTAAAACTCGGCTGAAGTGACTGATGTGGCCTTCCACTCAACGCATCCGAAAGGACATTAGAGCGAGCTCTTTGTTGTTCATTCGAAGGGCGGCCGAGGCTTGCTTCACTGCGATGACTGGAGATCGCCATGATCAGCGAGCCAGCCGAGATGGGCCTTAGCATGATCGTGGTCGCTCTGAAACCGTTATGACTAGTATAAATTTTAACAGTTATGCTATTTGGTCATATATTTCATCATGTCTGTTTTGTTCTGTTTTGTTTTTGAACACGAAATCTTAGATACTATACGTGTGCTAGCTGTGTTTGATTTTTATTACCGTACGTAAGCTTGCAATCTAACTGAGCGTGAAAACGTTCAAAACTCGCACTGTCCATTTCGTTTACTCCTTGAGGACTTTCGTCTCTGCTCACGTTATAATAACGTAAATTACGGCGCCTGGTATGTTTACAAACCTTTTTTCGGTTCTTCTGTTGCTGCTTATCGGCTCGCTTGTTCCGAAATTTCACTTTCAATTAACGAAAAACAGCTAAAGAAAAGTCCTGGAAAGGTCGGACATAGCACAATTTGGCAGATGGCGTGACAGCTTTGACTCAGTTCGATGCTCTATGCTGTATACTCTCATAGAGCATGCTCTTTCACTTTATTATTTAACTGATTTTATTTGATTTGATGTCCTTGTATAATAATTAGTTTTTGATTCGTTGATAGAGGCGGCGGTGTGGAGGGGGCGGGGAAAGTTCACTCCCCTTGGTACAAATTTCTTTCTCTCCCCAGCCTTCCGCTGCCATTCTCATCAAAGATGGCGGCCATAATCTTCGCTAAGAAAAGACTGAGCACTCATTCGCCAAAATTACGTGTGCTCTTAAGGCTAATTTTTCCTTCTTACAGAGAACTGACCCTTCCTTTTTTATTTTCATTCTGATGGAAATGGTGAGATGTTTCACATCTTATTAGATGTTTTTAAACGCATTTAAGAGTATTATCTTGTTAAGCCATGAAAATTGGCACGTTACTACAGAGTTACCAGTGCTCAAATTCTATATGCTTTTGGCATAGCACTGAAATTTCCAACATAGTGCTTTACTATTTCACGGAAAAATCTAGGCCTCTTGATATGGTCATAAGTAGTATGATAGTCATATCTTCTAACATAAAATCGTAATGTTACCGGTATTCATCTGGAGGTTTTTGTTTTATCAGACGCTCCACACGTCATAGTTTCACCAAAAGTAAAAACCGTCGTCGAAGGGAGAAACTTGAATTTGACATGTGCTGCGTCTGGCAAACCAAATCCCAGCATAAAATGGACCAAGGTTGGCAGTTCTGACTTTCTATCTAATGCCTCGCTGCTCACTGTTGTGAATGTAACCAGACCTAGGACAGCAAACAGCAAAATCCAGTATCAGTGCATGGCTAGTAATGGAGTGGAGACACCTGCTACAGCTACAGCCAGCATCATAGTGAACTGTAAGTATGTAGGTAAAATAGTTATACGCTGTGCATTACTATTTGACGTTGAATGCTTTTCCCCTTTTTGATATCTCCTCAATTCAGGGATTTGTTTAGTAAATTAACTCTCTCGTTGTTTTTTTTTTGTTACATTTTGGCAACGGTTTCTCATCAGTTCTCGAAATCATTTATGATCCCGCTCAAGATCATAAAGGCGACTTGACAATGATGATTCAATTCGCTCTGACGAAGGGCTATCACTCGAAACATCAACTTTAGAATCTCTTTACTATGTCCATTTCACATCTTCAACTCGGTTGATAAAACCAAATTATCTTAGACTGCATTTATCTGCTTGGTCAATTTTTAATAGCATTACTTAAACGTAAACATCGCTCACGATGGACATCGGTGACGATTGCGCTAATGCCGGCGACAGAGTTTATAGGAGGGATTGAGATGGAAATGGTGCGGGTAGTAAAGCCTTTTATGTTTAAGTCGCGCTACAGGTTGTTCAGAGAACAGTCAAGATTCGTTAAAGATTCTGTCTCTTCTCTAAGGAAAGAGACTCTTCTGTCCCACAGTATTGGAATTGTAAGTCGTAAGGTAGAGAAAACATTTTACCATTGAAGACTAAAGGTTTTAATACCCTGATTCCTAAATATACAACAAGTATATGTAGAGTGATACAAAAAAATGAATTAATAGGCTGTAGAGACGAAAAAACATAAAAAAACAGAGACGAACCCATTGAAAATAAAATTATGCAGAATCCAAGTTCGCGGCATGTCACCGATAGAATTCTTTGAACGAAGTAGTTTAATCCCACGGAGCATTTTAACTACGGCATACAACATTCACCTCTTCAAAGATCTAGTCCGATCACTGGACGACGGACCCGTTCAGAACGGCGAACAGGTAAAGTCATGCGTGTTTCAGTATTGTCCTCCCTATGGGACGTGTTATCCGTTGCTTTTAGAGCATGTCAAAAGGTAGTAAAAATTTGGTTTGGCCCTATGGTGTAAGGTGCTTGGTGGCCACTGAAGTCTCCTTACCGTTAGAATACCGCACATGGGTGTAATGAGGTTTTTCCTGGAGCAATTCCACCTCACCGACCAAAGGTTCCTTCTTGTTGGCGCGAAACGGACATATAATGCAGACGGGTCCAGGTGTAACTAGCACCAGAGTAGCATTATCGAGGTAGACCAAATAAAACGCCCGTGTGGTGTTTCATTGGCAGCTGTACATACAGCTGAACAAAGGGGAGAGCGTTAACGTTTTGTGGCAAGCATATGGCCGGCATAATCTTCATCCCTAGGCTTCACAAAAGGGGCTTGTAAAAGTACCATCGTCATCATATTTAAGAGAGGATGTCAGCATCCATCGAACAAATTTGAAATGTTTTGGCAAGTCGCCCAAAATTCGTTTTCTCTCCTACTTTCATAGTTTGTAGCCCAATATGTCCTTATAATTGTGGTGTAGTTTTTTTTGTGAAAATGTATTTTAGTTTTTGAGAAATGAGATTTTTCGTTCGACCGCTCAAATGTGCAAATTTTCACCCTGAATATTACCCGAGTTGAGTGACCTCGTGTAACGAATTTACTTGACCTTCGGTATTTCTGTCGGCATAATGCTTTGTTTTGTCATCTAAACTTAATCCCCTGTCATCAAAGCTGGCAAAGAAATATTTATTTTTTGGTGAGTATTTTTGTCCGACATACTTTTCCTATGTAGAAAAAAAGCATCGAAACAAAGACAGTTTTAATAATGACCGATATGACAGAATCTACTGAGCTTCTAGGTTTTAAAGACAAAAGGATGGTTATAAAGTTACTGTAAAAATTTCCTTGTGTATTTGTATTGTTCTATCGTGAGACGAACTCAAAGTCCGGCAAAATTTACTTGCTAGCGACTATGAAATATGCATGGTGTGCCTACTTGTCGCCACCGTTTACTGGCATAAATCACCACAGTTTGTAAAGAAATCTAACATGACACTCTTACCTCGTTTACTCATGATTTTATTAGCTGTTTCGATGATCAAGTTATGCTCTATCACATTTTAGCCAGATTTAACTTGCAGTTTGAAAATCTTCTCCACATTGTTATATTAGTTCCATGACAAGCGTGACACATATAAATTCCAAGATGAATCAACCTCCGAATTACCAAGAGATAGTTTTTTTCCTCATTTCATATCTTTAAAGACCTTCCAAAAATTATTGTATTCAGAAAACTCAAATGTCCAGATCCATCAATGATTCCTTTGCCGGCGGAAGTCAAAGAATGTTTACAAAAGTCAATTCGATTGACAAGCTACATACTGCTTTAGCTAATTGATCTGTTGTATAAGCGTTTCATCTTACATGCTAAGGAGGAGATTTGCTGTTCATTTCAACCGTTCGCTGGGAGGACTTTTGGGTATAGTTATCGAGAAGATCGACGTTGCATATCTCAGGTCGTTCCCTTGCGCAGTTGTAAAAAAGACATTTCAAGTTACCTGCGGAGATCCAGAACCTGACGTTCATCTTATTTTGTCGCGAGCCGGCATCTTCGAGGCGATGATATCGATGATTTTACAATTTGCCCCACTCATAGATGAAATCTCGGTATCGGTGTTGGGTGGATTCGTGGTTCCATTAATAGATGTAGAGTGCCTAAAGAAGTGTGCGGCCATGGTAAAGGTGGAGTTAAGTCGATTCCAAAAGCCTATTGGCAAACGTGTACCACAGATAGTACGCAAGACGTCTGGAAAATTCATACTTACCACCTTGTGCAAAATTACGCGTCCTGTCCGACTTAGGCCTCGACTGGGAATTGGTCAATAGGCCACCAAAAATCCAGACAGAGGCGGAGTTTTCTATACTAATGTCAAGGCACTTTGTTGTCTGGCGGGACGCGTAATTAAGCACACAGTGGTAAAGGGCCATTAATGGTAATTACAAGACGATGACAAAACTTTTTTCTCTTCACCGAAAATCACATCAAAATTTTTCCTTGCTAAATTTCAAGTGCGCTGCACGTATCAGCACCCCTCAGGGAACCATATGTATAAGAGGATGCTATAAAATTATAAAAGGTACCTGAGTCTTATCCGTGTGGGAGTGGCAACAACTGATATCTACCCCCTAAAAAATACCAATTTCAACAACATAATTTGGTAGGGATTAAAATAACTGTACGTCTGCATTTGTTAAACAGACTATTCAAGTGCATCCAAACTCGATGTGTGCACTTCTAGTGCATTAAGCATTCTTTTGTAACATAGTCAAAGATCTTGCGATGTCTACTGTTCAAGCCTTTTTTCTTTTCAAAGAGATATCAGAATTATTCTTATTTTTTTTAAAATTTATTTTTACTGTCAAATTTGCAGTAAACTGCTTGTGAGTCATCCTTTGTTTTCAAGGTGTCTTTCTTTCATCCGATAAAAAGTTTTAGGACCTGATAGCATCTTAGGGACAGACCATTAGACTTTTGATGCGGGAGCAGGGGGGGGGGGGGGGTGTGTGTTGGGCAATTGGCAAAAGACCTCCCCCTCACTCCCCCCCCCCCCCCGCATCAAAAATCTAATGGTCCGTCCCTAAGGTACCTTTTACATTATTCCAAAATGGGGTGTCGTTCCGGAACGAAATGAATTTCATGAATCAAGGGGTAAGTTTCTAAAGAAACTGTGGTGCTGCGTCGGTGGGAGAGTGTAGCAGG